CCCTGTTGTGCCGGGTCGCACCCGCTGGGCTGTGGAGGCCCTAGGGGAGGGCAGCAGGGTGGGAGCCATAGCACACAGCTGCACCCACCCCCACTCCCTCCCTGTGCACAGATTTGGAGGGCACAGGTCCCCCCTGCTCCCTGGGAGTGTGTGCAGCGGCAGGGAGTCGCCCCCCCCCCACCTGAGCCTGCAGCGGGGGGAGTGGGGGCAGGAGGCTGCAGAGCTGGGTTCCTAGCCTTGGCAGGTGGGCTCCTCTGGCAGGGCTGGGGGGGAGCAGGGGCTGTGGGTGGAGGGTGAAGTGCACCAGCAAGGCTGTGGGGGCTGTGCAGGGGGCATGAGAGCCACGAGCTGGGCCAGGGGGCTGTGGGTGTGAAGTGAGGGCCACCAGCAGGGCTAGGACAGCTGTGGTGGGGTCTTTAATTTTAATCACAGATTTGGGGCGGGGGGCGGTTATGGAGACTTTGCAATTTTTTATCAGGGGAAACCCAGATCTCTGATGATAATTTCCCAAAATTAGGTAATGTGGCTATCTTGGAGTGGCCCTCAGCACATGCCCAGTACCTAAATAGCTGTTTCTTAATGTGATGTAGGCACCCCAAACCCTTTTTGGGTCTGGCTATAATTGTGTATACGGTACATCAGGCATTATGGGATCGTTGGTGACAGGTATAGAGAGACTGCAAAGAATCTACTTCTGTAGCTCTTATACTATCACAGTCATAGCTCTGTTCCTCAGAGACTGCATGAGTTTGGCATCCACAGTGATAACAACCTCCCCAGTGTGGGCTTGGAGGGGAGGTCACAAGCCTCTCCTTGTATCTGGGGATACAACTGGATGATGCCTCCTTTTACTCTACACAGCACAGCTATGCCTAAACCCAAGACCTCTGATCTCTGCTGTGGCACAACTCTGGCTTCTGTTAAAACTACCATTTAACCCTAACTGCACCGGGTAGTGTATGGATGCATTTTAATAGTAAATCATTCTGGCAGCAACTCAAATAACCACAACACCTGAATAAACGGGAAGCCATCCCTTTCTTTTGACTTTTCTCAACACCTAATTAAAGGTGTTTATACCCTATTTTCTAAGGCTGTGCCTCTCAATTAAAGACAGGGCTCACTGTAAGCAAATCCAAGACTTAAGTGTGCGTGTGCATGTGTGTGTTGACTTCCTTGGTCATACCTTGCTACAGTTTGCTTTAATCCCTTAACCCCCTTCAGGCATTTTTAAAAAATATGATTATTGTATCATTTGAGAAACCACATTTTAAATGCAGGTGGATTGTCCCTGGCTTTGACCCCAATTTTTCACTCCGATATGAGATAGTGACCTACTCTGGTAAGTTTTCATAAGGAAAGTTATTCCATTATTGACATTCATTAAATTGCTCCCCAGCATGGCATGAAGCAAAGTCAGATTCTAGGTCACTGTTCAGACCATACACCTATTTCATCATGCATTATTTAAAAAAAAAAGTCACAGCTAAGGTGAGGATATTATTAACTTGGCAAAAAAGCAATTAAAATCTTCAAAGAGTGAACTTTCAAATAGTGCTGCAACACTTAAATGTCATATTTCTGTTGCAAATGTATTTTTAATGATAACATTTCTTTGTAATGTAAATCAGCCTCCTCTCAATTATAACATGTTAATCAAGTTAGTTCTCAATTGCTGCATACCCATCAATGCCTGCAAATCCATCACATGTCATTTTCTAAAAGCATACTAATTACTTTATTATAATTCATTTGAATTTTTGTAGAATCTGACTATTCCTTTTTAATACTACACATTAGATACAGATTTGTATTTTTGGAGAGACAAAAATGTAAGAAACGTGCATTCTATAACTTCAGAAAATCCCTTAAAATTGAAACTCCCTTAAAATACCTAACTGTGCAGGACACTGATCTTAAAATTTTGAAAAAAATGAGTCCTCTCTTCCCAAAATAAACTCGATCCCACCTACTTCCCACATAGCCTAATGCACAATATTACCAACAAACAAAGAAATGCATAAAAATAGAAAGCAAAGAAAAATCTCTAAATATTACTTTAAATACATACCTCAAATGCAGAACAAGATTTGATTGGGTAGAGGCAAATGTTGGTGACAATGATTGGCTTGTTACTACTGCTGTGTACAGGAACTGCCCACTCAAAAACAGCAGCCCCGGTCCTTTCCAATTCAGTCTCTGGTGGCTGCCACCTGGTAGTCTTCAGCATTGCAGATGAGTTATTGCAGGGTCCAGTGTCTGCAATAATAGTTTTCAGAGACAACACAACTGCATTGTGACAGGAAGTTTGGTCATTCTGTATGGCGGATTCTGCAGACTCTGTAACAGTCTTGTTTGGAATAGGTTGAGAGGGAAACTTAGTGTCTGCTTTGGAGAGTTGGGTGGCTATAATGAACTTTAGAAAGTTTTGTGCATCTTCAAATGTGGACATGTAGCCAAATGATATTCTCACAGACCCAGTGGGACGTCCGTCAATTATATCTATGTTATCTCCACAAACGTGGCCGGCCTAGTTTGAAAGAAAAAGAAAAAGACACGGAGCTATTAGAATGGCCTTCTCATTTTCTTTCTCCTATTGTTTTACATAGTTTTATATCACACTGTAAAGTCCAGCATTAAGATTCAGTTCCCAAATACAGACAGCAAATATGTTAATAAAATGGAAAAATGGAGATGCTATTAGAGATGAACAGGAAATAATTTGCCTGTCCCATGGAAAATACTAGTATTTCAGAAAAGTTTCTTGACCCACACTGAGACCAAATGGAGACCTTTGAAATTTTTTTGCATATAGAACCGACAAGAGTCACCCTCACCACAATGGCTTGGTAACTTTGCCCTTAACCAGGACAGGGTAATGCAGCTTTAAATACCTGCTGTACTTGATTCATGAAGACCATCTTCAAGAGAGATCCCTAACGAATAGCCTATTAATTATTCTGGGATGGGTCTCTTAATCTTTTCCTTTTAGAGATGTTCCAGCTCTTATAAATAATCATACATTGGGCATGGTTACACGTGAACAAGCTTATCACATTACAAATGAGGGTGGGGACTTGCAGAACACCAACTCCATGGTAAGGGCCCATGAACATGCTCTTAACTTTGACTAGCTTGAAGTTAACCTATTGTAGCTGTTTCAGAGAGGTGAGTTACCAGGGGGTTAGCTTTTGTTTATTGAAGGATAGGAGTGTGCATACAGGCAGTTAGTGCATACAATTTGAGATGCGGCCTCATTCACTTCCCCATGTCTTATCTGTCTGTGCATGCCCAGTCAAGGGGGAAGAAAGAAAGAGAGTTAGAAAGCAAGGGCATGCATTCAAGAGAGACTCTATAAGCTTGTAATTAGGCCTCCAGACCTGTAATTAGGGTGAGCATCACTGAGCTATACGGTTGGTCTCTCTCTGGTCCAAACATTGAAGCATTCCATCACAAAACCTTTCTAAGAAAAGTATCTTCTTTTGAAGAAAAAAAAAAAAGGTTTCAACTAATGGCATTTTCCAATGAAAAAATCATTCTCTTGAAACATGTCCAACCAACTCTAGTCATGATAACCTGGGCCAGTGCTCTCCAATTTCTTAGCAGCCAGGGACTGTATACCTTGGTGGATGCACACCAGCAGGGGCCATGGCCCCCTCACCTCTCCAGCTGCAAGCTCTTCTAGCACCCTAGCTAACTGCACCGTGCATGTGGGTAGGCAAATGTAGTGGGTGGTTTAGTTTCATGGTTTTCACTTATTTATGCATTCTGCTACATCAAAATTGGAGTTTGACTAGATTATTTACAAGAGGTTTATTTTAAGAAGCAGGAGAGAGGTCACAGTTCACCAAACACTACTTTCATGTATTTGTAGTTTGTTTTTTTAAATACAGAAACAAAACAGAAAAAGCAACTGTCAAATCTTTAAGTGCAGAGTGACAATTTTCATCCTACTCTGTCTTGCCTGCTCAGAAAACAGAAAAGAAACAATGTTTACATACTTAGGTAATATCTGGTTACATACATGTAAACCTTCTGCCAGGAGTTCACAGCTGCAGAAAGGACCAGGTTCACTACAGCTAGCTTCATGCTTGCTAAATAACTAAATTTACTTGAGACTACCAGGAAAGCTGGGAAAACGTTCCTTGTAAGACCTTAAGAAGTAAAACTTCCTTATTCAGAAGTGATCAGTGACAGTGGAAAGAAATAGTCATGTGAGAAAAAGGAGTGCATTCATGAAGTTTGAAAATGTATCAAAAGAACACATCTGTAAATGTAGGGGAAAATATGACCAACAGTCCTTGTCTGTGGCTTTGGCAATAGTCTAACCCCATCTACAGGTGAGACTGTCCCAAGAGTCTTGTTGTATCATCAAGGCCCACTTGCAGATTGCATCAGCCAGTAACGATAGACCAAAAGTTTCTGCCCAGGTTTGTCTCCAATTTCAAGCGAACAACTTGTCTGGCTCTGATTGGAGGCTTCTTCATCTCCTCAACTTTAGCAATTCAGCTGTATTAAGGTGCCGGCTAAATAGGACCGTAAAGTCCAATCAGCTCTGTGATCACAGCTAATCTTTGATTTGGATGACCTTTTCTGACAGAATCTAGCCCTCTATGCCACTTTCCAATACAGTCCTCATTTTGTGTTGTCTGTCTCCCCCTGGGGGGAGAAAGGGGTGGGGGACAACAAAGCAGAGTTTCTTTGGCTGCTTGGGAGTGAGCATTTCACCATCAAAACGGACCACTCTCCTCCCTGTGACCATTCCTGGGAGCAGAAAAAATAAGTCTAAGTTTAACTACAGATATTTTAAAAATTTCCAATAGTCAATTCAATTCCAAATCCAGAAGAGCAAAGTTCCATAGCTATAAGTATGCATGGGCCAAATGTTTTCAACAAGCCCAGCATCCTACATATAAATCCCAGACCTGCAGGCCTGGAAGTTCAGATGGTCCCCATATCCAGGCTGGTCCCCTACAGTGAAAGTCCCAGGTCTGGAGGCTTGGGACTTCAGATGCCCCTGTCATGCTTGATCTTAGCCAAAAGACCTCTCCCCATTGAGACATGGTGACAGAGCAGGAGAATTGTGCCATGATGCCCCAACAGAAGTGAATTTTGAGTTTCACTATGGTGTCATAATGAGGGCCAATCCCAGTCAACCCAGGAGTAAAATAGGTTCTTTGGGAGTCAAAGATGGTCAGACACGATCCCAGCCATATCTCTCCTCTGTGTGATGGGGGCTGCACGTGGGGGGTGCAACTACCAACCAATGGTCAGTGTCGAACTGGTGAGGGAGCACTTAGAACTGTTGGTTACAAAGAGCCAACTTTCAGGATCCTTAAAATTCTAGTTTATTAAATGGATGTGCAATGATTTAATATGGTCCATGTTTATAATGGACCTCTGCCCTTGATTCCCCAAACTGTCACTAAAGGAAGTCTGGACAGGAAGCCTATGTAATAATAAAGCTTTCTGTGGTAAACAAAGCTCTTTTCCCTTTTCATCTTTAGAGGGAGTAGAGAACTCCTTCTTATCAGAACTTCTGGACATATAATTGCAGCACTCATACATTCATGGAGCATATCGAGAGATCTTTTTGAAATTATAAGGAAAATATGGATCAGTACAACCATTTTTTTAAAGTGCCTTTAATAAGCTTTTGGATTTTCTCCCAGTATATTTATTGTAATATCAAATGATGACATGTTTACAACCATGAAGTCTCTCATGTTTTATTATAACATATGCTATACACTTAACTAAGAATTTTAATGACAATTAGTAGAAAATATCAGTTACAAGGCAGAGCAAGCAATTTGTTCAGACACAGATGGCATCTGTTACCCACATCTAGCATACTAGTAATCTAGGTAGACATGCTGTATATACATATAATTCTCTAAGCTAACATAATTATCTCAGTAGCTCAGTGCATTTTTGTGTTTGTTTTCTCTTGTTAGGATTTATTTCTGTTTCAGACTGTAACTTACTACAGAGGTGGCTAATCCGTGGCACAAGGGTCACCAGTGGCCCAGGTAGACTTTGTGTGTGATGCACATGGCAGACTGTGGGGAGGGGGCAGGCAATACAATGGCAGAGATGGCAGGAAGCAGAAAGGAGAGCAGCAGGTTGGGCAAGGAGCACAGGGCAGGTTGCAGAAAGCAGAGCAGCAGTCTGGGCAGATGGAAGGGATTGGAGTGATACTCAAGGAAGTTGTTGAGCTAATTTGTGGTATGTCTTCCAGAAAGGTTGGCCCCTACCATCCTACAGGATGGAAAGACCAACTCCATCACTATGAACACTAGCAAAGACTATTAGATAATTAAATACGTTAGCTATACATCCAAGCTATATCACTAGATATGTTTGGGAATTGAAATTTCTATTCTACAGGGGATACTGACATTTGGGCTGCTTGCACATGCCATGGGAGTTTAATTTGGTTTAGTTCTCCTTAAATTGAAACAGTGGGTTTTTAAAAACACTGCTTCAATTTAGGGAGAATTAAACCAAACCAACACCCCGTGGCACGTACACAAGGCTGAGGGCCAGATCCTTACCTGCTTCTTTGGCAGCTGGTGATGGACCAAGTGGTCCCTGAGCTGCGCAGGGACCCCCCAGGTAACACCCGCCTGCTGGCACCCAACCTGGGGTGCTGAAGCCACAGAGGAAAGTACTTTCTCCCCTGCAGCCTTGGAGGAAAGCACTGGGTCCCTGCACAGCTCAGGCAGGCAGGCTCCAGGGAGACGGGGAGAAAACAAAAAGATCAGGCTCGCCGCTTTTTTTTTTCCTTCAGTGGACCCTACCTGCACAGGCTGCCGCCGGGTTCCACAGCCCCTGGCTGCACGAGGACCACCGAGCCCTGGGCAGGTCAGCTTCCAGTGCCCTGTGCACAATTTTAGTTTGCTAGGTAGCAAACTAAAATACCTCGGAGCTGTTTTATGTTGCTAGGTACCAAAGTCATTTAAAGCAGAATTCGCTGCAAGGGTGCAAACAGCAACCCCGTTGAAGTGGTGGAAAAGGGCATTTAAGCCACTTTAAAGGCCGATTTTGTGGCATGTACAAAGGCCCTTGGATTTTTTTTTCTTCTCAAGTCAAAACAAAGAACCAAAATCTCAAAATTTTAAAAGAAGCAAAACTATAAAAAGAAAGAATTTAGGGCCATCAAATGTTTTATTTAACTACTATGAAGCATACACTTTCACTAACATAATTTTAGTAATTAAAATATTAAATACAATATATATAGTAACAGAGGAATAAGATTAAAATAAATCCTATTAAAATTTAAACTGTTATAAATTAGTGTAATATAGAAGTCTAATTGAATTGAATTGAAATGCCACTATTGAAACAAAATATTTTGACTTTGTCAAAATGAAATGCTTCAAATTCTTCTGCTGAAAAATAAGCATCAGAACATCTTTCTTTAAATGGCAAATGAAGCTACTAAAACTTTTTCACCCAGCTCTAATATTGCTGCATCACTGATAATGCAAGCACTACAGGAGAAAGCTACCATGAGTAAAGAAGTGTTAAGATAAAAATGAGTGAAAAATAGAACATAAGACAAATTGCCCTGCAGAAACTAATAACTGGATGCCAAGATGTAGAAGATTTGCACCCTCAGACTGTGTCCACACGAGCATAATCGTGTGGCATGCGGTGCCACAGACATGTCTGCAGTGCCTCATACTACACATTCAGCTGTTCTTCACATTGCAATGTAGTGGTGAAGTGGTTTTTTTGACCCCAGGAGATCCAGGGGTAAAAAAACCTGCACAAATAAAAGTGGACTGGCACATGCATGGGCAGTGCGTACCACCCAAAACCAGAGCCTGGCTGGGTGCCATACTCCGGCTGCTTGCCAGGCTCTGAGCACCAGGATCGCAGCTGCTGCAGCCGGAGAATGCCCTCAGGACCCCAGGTAAGGCTGCTGGGGCCCACACAGTGCTCCCCTCCCCCACCCAGGGTAACCTGCCACATGCCAGAGGGCCCATGGCACAGGTGCTCCCTGGGTGACAGGTAGCAGCAGCACAGTGTGTGCTGCTGCTTCTTGTCCCTGGGGAAACGGATGTCCACGCTCGTGCCTAGATATTTAATGAAGTTGAGTTCTTCTTTCTTTTACCCCTCTTGTTTTGCAGTAATTTCCCTTAGTCTCACTTGGATTTGGTACTGACCTGAAGGTTCCTTTTGATATCCTCATTGCTGATCCCCAAATGCTGCTGGCAGGCACCTGTATTACAAAAGCAACCTGTACGGACATGTATGTTGTAGAGACTAGCCATCTTGTCCACCTTTAAAGATTCAACAGAAAACAAAAAAAAGATTACAGATATATTAAATGATATGTAAAGTTTTACAGCACAAATTGACATTGCTTGATGTAAACTACCTGCTCAGTGGTTGCAGCCAACAGTGAGGGAAATGGAATTTTAGCCTTTTTATTTCAAATGAAGGTAAACAACAAAGAAGAAATATGGTGTCACGGCAGAGAGAGAGCATGTACACAGTTATTCGCCCTGCTCCTCCAAATGTTGGGACACGCTTAATGAACTTAACATGAATAGGTTCATTAAAATCAGTAAGGCTAATCGCAGACTCAAGGTTGAATGCGTCTTTGCATGATTGGCACCGTACTAATCTGCAGCTGAATGGAAACACAAAGCACAAAATAGCAGGTGCCTCTCCATGACAGCGGGGATGGAGGGATCTTCTCTTCAATTAAAGGTGCTATCTGCAGCACAGAGAATGACTTATTTGCTCAAGGACCATCCTTTTGGCTGTTTTTCTACATCCTCTAGCATCGTGAGGTCATGCTCTATGACCAGTGCTCTCCTAATTGCTACTGCACTGAAATTAATGTCTAATTTCCCTAACACATCTACATCCCACAAAACTGGCAATTTTGGCACCAGGGTAGAGGTGCTAGAGAGTGGGAGATGGAGTGGGGAAGGTGCTGAGTGCTTGAGAGTCCCTCTAAGACCTTCCCTGCTACTACCCTGGCATGGTTTCCTTGGGGGCTTCTTTTCTGGTATGCTCTCTAAATCAGCACCTGAGACTGGTGCCCCACTTGCCAAGCCTTAACTATTATTTCATGCACTGAAATATTTCTAAAAGTACTAGGAAAAATACTAAACAGTTAATGGGTACAGATATAATAATTATCAATGAATAATTGAGATGAATAGATTATGTGAAGAATGACAGAATGAATGTGTAGGTGGCCAGGGGAAACAGCAGAAAATATCTGCCTGGGTATTAACTGAAGTTGATTTTGAAGAGCAATAACAGCAGCTGTAAGAACAGTATATGACATGGACTGTTTGCATTTATTTCCATTATAGGAGTGACCAAAGGCCTCAGTCAGGACTGGGACTCAGTTGGAAGGAAGGACATGCAGACATTCATATATGAGCCTAGAGCTTGGTTGACTTGCATTCAAGTTTCTGCTTCACCACAAACTTCCTGTACAACCTTAGGCTAGGGGTTCTCAGACTTTGTGATACCATGACTCCGTGAAATAATATATACATGTATGCGATCCCCCATGATTAAAACTATTGATTTTGCACTCGTACTCAATCACACACAGTCAATTGAACCGTTGACAGATAAATACTGAGCCCCACTAACCTGTAAATGCTGAGAGAGAAAACAAAAGAGACACTTCCATTGTGGGCGAGTCCAAGGACACACGCTTCACCTCTGGGGGAGGGAAGCAGGCAGAGTGTTTGTACTTTGGGAAGGGAAAAGAAGTTTGGACCCCTTTTAAGTTGCTCGCGGTGCTCCGGGGGTTCACCTTAGGGAATTTCCATAATCTCTCTGTGCTACCATTTTCCATCAGCTAAACAGGGAAAATAGCATTTTCCCTGCCTTGCAGAGCAGTTGTGAGGATAAATATAGCATAGATTATAAGGTGCTCCTTAGATGCCACTGATCTCAGGGGAGGCAAAATCCACAGTTTTAAATATGCTGCGGTTTTTGCCTCCTGGCCGATCAGCAGCAAGTGGTGGGGCTGCCAGGGCCCCTTCACCAATCACAGGTGCAGGGGGCCAGGGTGAAACCAGGAAGATTGAATGAGTGGCTGCAAGGTACACTTCCACTGTGATTTTGGTAAGTCCCTCCTCATAAGTATCTAACAGTAGGCAAGGCATATACCAACAGTTGAATGTGATAAATTCTAAACATTTTTGTTTTATATTTCAACATAAAACTCCCGAATGGAAATGTTTATGATTTTCAAGCTCAATTTTCTAAGTACTGACAGGGTGAATCTATGATTTCCTCCCAAAATACACCAATGTGAACATATAACTTTAATTTTTGAGCTGTTTTAAACCGTCTGTAGACAACACTTTAAAGAGGGTTTAAAGCAGGTTAAATGCCTTTTGCATGAGTTTGCAAATTTGGCAGCATATTGGGTATTAATTCCAGCCTTTGTAGCACATTCAGTGGCATAATGTGCCTTAAATGTCTTTGGGATGCATCAAATGACTTTGCGGTGCTGCAAAGTAAAACACCGCCGAGGAGTTTTCGTTTCCTACCCTACAGTCAAAGAGGGAAGCACCGGGCTCTGTGTGGCTCAGGGGGTATACAGGCAGCCTGGCAGCAGCCTGGGAAGGCAGGCTTCACAGAAAGAAAACAAGAAGTGGCAAGCCAGATTTTTTTTTCCCTCGGGGCCTGCCTGCCCGCCTGAGCTGCATGGGGGCCTGGTGCTTCCCTCCATGGCTGTGGTGCCCACCAGGACTATCAGAGCTGGGTGGCTGCGGGCAGGTGCTGCCTGGAGGGGGGCTGCTGCTGTTGTGGAGGGAAGCACCATCCCCTCTCCACAGCTCAGGGATCGCTCTGCCTACCAGCAGCTTTCTTTCCCCTCCCCACCGGTGGAGAGGCAGGTAAGGATTGGGCTCCAACAAGGGTGTACACAACACGGGGATTTACTTTGTCCTGAATTGAAGCATTTCTTTAAAAAAAACACTGTTTTAATTGAGGGCAAAATAAATCCCCGGGTTGTCTACAAATGGCTTACATCTAGAAATAAATGGTCTATTTTAAAAAAAGTCGAATATCATAATATAGGCTAATAGCCTTATCGATGTCGGATTTGTATAGCAGGAATGAATAATATAGCGGTTAGATCAGGGGACTGGAAGTTAGGATTTCCTGACCTACTCTTCTTAAGTTTACCAAATTTGTCCATAAAAAAACTAAGGTCTTTTGACAGCTGTCACATTCCATTATCACAACTGCTTAAAGGATCAATCCCTGAATTACAGTTTAGTGCAACGTTAAATTAAACTACGCTGATATTTGTCCACAGTGAACACAATCCAAATGAAATTTGGCACACATGTAAAGATGTTAGAGACCTTTCACATGTTTGACAAGATGGTTTTTTTGCAAGCATGCTAGGTGAATTATTTGATTCTTAGAATATTTCATGTTTCCAGTGTAGAAGAGTGATTGCATCTGTGTCAAATGGGCACAGAAAGGTTGTAAGACACTTTCAAAATGAAACAGGGATCCCTTTTATACCCACTCGCTATATCTATACTAAACAAGATGTAAGACAATCTGACAATCTGATTCCACAAACAGCCTGTTATAACAGTAAAGATATTTTAAAATTTAATTAACTGTCTTTTAATTGGTCTGTTTACATGCTCAACATTGCTGTGTTTATGTAGGATATAAGTGCTAAAACCAGAAAACTACCCAACCCTTGTATCTTAGTGTATAGCAGCTTGCACATGAATTTGAGGCACTTGAAATGCCAAGATTGCCTTGTGATATCTCTGTTTACATTGCATTTACTATTTTGGGGTTAGATATTTGATCTGAGGTATGTTCTACAGTTTATACTGACTTACACAGGTATCCTTATAATAACATTTCATAATGTTAGCTATACAGAGAAAAGGTAAAATTGTCAAAATCACTGAAGTGATTTAAAAGCCTAAGTAACGGTGGTTCAGATTTTTACATGGAAATTTAGGCAGTTGTTCCCAGTGGGATTCAGACACCTAAATGTCTTAAAATTTTGGTCATTAGGTCAGCCCTAGATAGGACAGAGCTGATTTTAATGAGATTCCACACGGAACTAGTGGATCCTTTTACACAGACTTTAAAACCCCAAAACAATATGTAACAGGAGTCTTAAATAGAGGAACCGGCAAAAATGGGTGTGAACAGAGCCACACTTCTATTATTCATGTAGCGCTAGCTGTAACCCTCAAGTTGGTAAAGTAAGAGGGCCCTAATCCTGATAGGGATCTTGATGCCATAATGTACTATTATAGAGTATGGCTGAGAGGCATCTCAGCACCGTTTACTGGCCGTCTGGTGTCTGTGGACTCAGTTGCTGGGAGCCTTCTTTCTTGCTTGGGTGCTACACCTTTGAAGGTCTCTTGGGAGTCTGTGTTGGGAGATGGCTCACTTCACCCAAAGTACCACAGACCCCATGATTCTCACAGCACTAGGTGTCTGGTAGACTTTACTCATGGTCTCCGACCTCCCCTTTAACCGTGCCCATGCCTCGCAGATGTTATGCCTTGTCACATCAGTGGGCCTCAGCCCTAGTCTCATCTCAGGCCACTCTATAGTTTCATAGTTTCTAGGGTCGGAAGGGACCTGAGTAGATCATCTAGTCTGACCCCCTGCCATGGCAGGAACGACTATTGCGGTCAAACGACCCCAGCAAGGTGTACATCTAGCCTCCTCTTAAAGACCCCCAGGGTAGGAGCCAGCACCACTTCTCTTGGAAGTTGGTTCCAGATCCTAGCCGCCCTGACTGTGAAGTAGCACCTCCTGATATCTCTAGGCCCCTATGTCCCATGTTGGACCTTAGTCTTCTTGGTTTCCACCCTGAATTTAAAATGACCTCCCAAAATAATTAGATTCTATACATGGAAAATGTATGAATTTACAATTTTCCATGTACAGAATATAATTCTTGGAGGATAATTTTAAATTTATCCCCACTACCACCGCAACAGGGAAAGCAGTGGTAGCAGGGCAAGTGGTGTGGGTGGGTGGGGCACACAGTGGTTATGGTGGTTGGGGGGGGCATACAGTTGGGCAAGTTGGGGTAGGGGGGAAATGGTGGGGGAAGCAGTGGGGCATAAAGCAGCTGTGGCTCCAGCCCAACTCAGGGTTGAAGCCCTGGTTTGAGCCAGATCCACAGTAGCTGCCTACCTCCTCCTCCCCACATACCATGTACTTGATTCCAAGATGAAAGATGTTAAATGGTGGGGGGAAAACCTTGTCTTGGAATTAAGTAAATATGCTACATTTCTCT